CCCCCCCCCCAACCAAACTCCATGCAGAGAAACCACCCGCAATATAAACACCCTGAACAATAAAACACCGATTAAGGAAATACTAACAATGATGAAAACAAAATATCCTATTGAAATAAATAATACAATCCTAAGAAAAAAAGTAAAATTAATGTATTTATTTTACACACAAATCAATGAAGATAGCATAATTAGCATGAGTGCAAATTCACTAATTTTCCGAATATTTTTTAGGCTTAGATGGAAGAAGTACCATTTGACGCCACATTCTCGAAATAGTCTTTTTTTCTTGTCTTTTGAATGTACCGTGCTGATTACCTTTAATATCTCCAGGTTGTCCATAGTTCCAAAACAAATGAATCCTGCCTCTTGATTTGGCACCAGAATCGAACAGAAGAAATTACTGTCCATTATGTGTCATTTTACATTTTCAGAAATAATTATATCAGCGACATCTCTTGGTTCAGACATGGAATGTTTTAACGTTTGACATTGACGCCTTATATTAAGTCGTATGTATAGAACTGTGGGCAGCTTGATTTAAGCTGGGTTTTTTTTCAGCAAAACTTTTCATCTGATGTACTGCTTTGCTAACTTATATTTGAGATGGATCTGGTCCATGTGAATGCCCATAACAACGTCCAACACAATATTCCCCAAGCATTTTTGTTTAGCTTTGCATTCTGTCATGTTCCGTCATTTTTCCACTTAAATGACGCAACACCGTTTGCCAAATCATCATTAATATTTTCTAATTTATAAACCTCAATCAGGGGTTTATATTGATAAGGTTTATGAATGGACATCCATCTCTTAACACAATTATAGTCACACATTAAGCCAGCCCCCACACCTTAAATTTACCACACTAAGTTCCCTACCACATCATCTAATAGTAACTACAACTCTAAAGAATGCCCTTTTTAGCTTAATTAAAATTTAAAATGATATGCGCAAAACTCACTATATACTGCAAAGTTGAAGGAAATATAAAGCCACTCCACACTAATGTTATGCCAGACGTCATTGGGGGTCCCTTAAAATTACTAAAACATATCGAGACCCAAACTAAAACATATCATGTATTTTCTATAATTTCTAGTTAAAACAACATTGAATATCTAGAAACCGGTGTCACTGACGTGTTAGATGCTTTTTTGTTTCAATTTTCATAAAATTCTTTGGAAAAAAATTAAATTCTACAATTAAAAACAGTATACATGTGTCGCATAAATGTAATCAAAGTTTTTATTGATTTAGTTGCAAGCGACCATTTGTGTTACTAGAGCTTGCCTATCCGCTTTACGTTAAGATATAAAATATATGTACATGTTTGTAAAAGATATCTGTTTACCGCCATTTTCTTGATAAAGACATTTATTACAAGATCAATAAATATATTTTTAAAAATTTTTTTAAACTCAAAACTAATTGGATTAATATGTTTCTAAATCATATTGCTTAGAACGTTTTCTTAAAGTTAATAATTCTCAATAAAATATGTTAAAATTAAGCTTAATCGTTTAAGTGTGTCAAATTTATGCAAAATGAGCTTGGTATTTTCAGCAGTACGTGTCGTGTGGGCTGAGCTTTCTGTCTGCTTAAAAAAAAATAACTTCCATTACTTACTTTTCTGACGGGGGGAGGGGGGGGGGGCGAAAAAATGATGCGTTAACATCAGTGGCGGAACTAGAAAAAAAGGGCCACCCCGCAAAGAAATTTTTTGGGCCCCATCTATATATATATATATATATATATATATATATATATATATATATATATATATATATATATATATATATATATATATATATATATATATATATGTGTGTGTGTGTGTGTGTGTGTGTGCCTTTATATATAAACAAAATACGAAAATACCAACACAGTACTCATTTCGGGATTGTTCGATTTTTTTTTAAATTAAGAATACTAAAAAATTTTTTAAAGAAATTAAAACAAGTTATAAGAACACGTCACAATTCTGTGAGTGCTAATTTTTTTTTTCTTTTTTTAATAGTGACAATCGTAAACAGCGTAAAATCGAAGATCAGTCTTACTATCCATTCTGTGTGTGTGAGTGCTATTGGTCTGAAAATCTCTGTTTTAAATATATGTTTAATGTTTCCAGTATGTTGGTCGGTCAAAAGAATATGAAGCATGAAAAAACCATGTCGCGTTATGTTTATTTTCATGTTTTTTTGTATTTATATTATTAGTTTTAAATACATTTCATTTTTATGCTTTGTCATTCTTTATTATGAATTTTTTAAAATAATTATTAAGAGATGTAATTGCTTTTTAATTTGTTTAGTGCACATCTATTAAAAGGAGCTTAAGAGCACACATACTTGACTATTTGAAAAAGGGAAATAAGTCATGGAAGTGGTTTGAACGCTTGCCTATCATTCACGCGATTTTCATACGAATTTTTCCGACAACAGCGTGTGTTTGATTGTTGGAGAAAGAGGACCCGGGATGGTGTCTATAGAATAAAGATAATGAAACCGCAGCTACAGTATTCTTTTTACAAAACAACCATAAAGTAAAAAATGTATCAAGATTTTTTTAACTAAAAAAATAAATTGATTATGGTCGGCTGTGGGCCCCTAAATGGCCCGGGCCCCCCGCATTGCGGGGTCTGGCGGTACTGTAGTTCCGCCCCTGGTTAACATGATTTAAGAAAAATCATTTGTGAATTTAGTGTATTGTTTATAAATAATAATTCAGGCTACATATATGCAGCTTCCACACATCTGATCAAGCTGTACGCAAATTACTTTGTACAAAATAATTCCAAGCGTAACTGTTACTTTCAAAAATAATTTTGGAAGAATCGACGTGAAAGGCATAGTCAGGAGCAAGAACTACCTACTTTAATTAGCCCACTTAACATGCATGCCTAGCATTCCAGTTCTTGGGATTAACTTAATAAAACACAGTTTCAAAAGCTTGAATAAGCATGTTTATTATCATGTAAAATTATGAAAACATGACTGGTTAGTAAAATTAAATAATTTAAAATGTAATAAAAAGCTAATGTGTTTTCGTTACATGGAACGGATTGTTTTATCAAATGTCAGATATTTAAAGTGTATTTAAGCATATATACAATATATAAACAGCATTTATTTTCTCCTATTAAGTGCATTATTATATAACAGCTTGTTATTAAAACGTTTTATGTTGTTTTTTCTGCAACGTTTTAGTAACAAGCTGTTATGTAATAATGCACTTAAGGGGGTAGGCTCCAGAAAAAAAGAAACTTCTTAATTAAAAGCTTTTATTGATTTATTTGTGTATATCTAAGTTAGGGTACTTGAAGGAAAATATTTCCATGCATCAGGGACTCTTTTGAAATTATGGTTGTCATGGCAACGGCGGCCATCTTGAAAAAAAAACATCCTTTTCTGGAGTTCTAAAATTTCATAAACTAACATAAATATCGGCTATATAGCCATTGATCCTTCTTGTACTAACGCTAATAGAGTCAGCTGGCTAGTTTTTGTAACAGAAATCACTCTAGAAATATTTTTTTTTAATTTTCAAAATTTGGTGTGACGAAATTCCAATGAAAATAATGCTAAATTCAATGGAATTTCACCAAAATATTTTTTGAAAATTTGAAAAAAAATATGTCTAGCTGTTTTTCGGTTACAAAAATTAGCCAGCTGGCTCTATTGGTATTAGTACAATAAAGACCAATGATTATATGGGCGGTTTATATGTTACTTTATGAAATTTTACAACTCCACATAGGTAGTTTTTTCCAAGATGGCCGCCGTTTCCATGGCAACCATATTTTCAGAAGAGTCCCTGGTACATCCAAATATTTTTCCTTAAGTACCCTAACTTATACATACACAAATAAATGTAAAAGGCTTTTTAATTAAAAAGTTTTTTTCCCGTTTTTTTCGGGAGCTTGTCTTTAAATTTATAATAAAAACTGCTTTTTAAATTTAGTGCATTATTACATAGAAGCTTGTTATTAAAATGTATTCGAAGTATTTTTTTCTGTACTTGAAATTTTCAAAAACATAACAGTTACATGATTAAAATCAATAGCGTACCAAATAAAAATGACAATACGCATATAATATTGCGGGAAAGTAGAAAGTCAACCTATTATTTAAGAAAAATGTAACCAATTCATAAAAAATAATTAGACAATAAATTAAGTTAAATTTGATGTAAGATTGATTTGTCTTCGGGTTTTGACCCACGTACCTAGATTCAGAGAAATTTGTCGGTAAGAGGTACTCGAAATTTTGCTCGCCTGTTTTGACCTGTGACATTACGACAGTCAGAGGAAGCAAGTTAAATGAAAGCTTGTAAAAAGATCAAACTTTACGTGCATCCACAATTTTTTACACAAATTGTGGAGCTAAATACGGATTTTGTTCATTACCATACGTTACATCCTCCAACGTATTATATACATGTTCAGTCACTATAACCTTGTTTGGTAGATTTTCTACTACACCGTCTGTGGGAGGTTGATTTGATTCCGGATGATTAAAATATGAACCCTGTGCTTCATCAATAACGTCATAAGGATTTTCACTCGTCCTGTACGTTGAAGTAAGGGAAACAGTGGCCGTAACATCTCTATGTGCGGCTTCTTGTTGACGTCCTCTGGTTGCTGGTTGTGGGGACATGTCTGAGCTTGTATTGGCTGGTAGTAGATTAACTCTCTCACGTGACATCAGATAACCGTTTTTATCAGTGGGGAAACTTGGCATTTGTATATCATTTGATGTCTCTATAGTTTCTGAGTCTTTTGGTTTTGATGACTTTGTACATGCAAACCAAGCCGTTGCTGATATATAAAAAAACGAAAAATAAAATAGATAATTATTAATGGTACATAGTGTTAACAAAAAATAATTTATGGTTATGATAATATGGTTAAGTAAATGCTCACCTTTAGCTTTTCTATTGACAGTTACAATTACAGCGATACATCCAGCTATAGCTACCAGACCTGCAGCCAAACCGACCCATTTGCTATAATTACCAAAAATTGTATTCGCCCCTGTTTCATAAACTGTAATTAAAACAAATATTAGAGATATATTAAAACAAAGTCACATTGTTTAACAAGTTTGATTATAGTACTAGCAATACAATAAAAGCGAAAGAATTATTTTAATCATTCAAATAATGAGCATTTAAGACATTACACAAATCATACATTTTTATGAACGACTTGCTTTTATTTTTCTTACTAAAGAACGATAAGTTGTGATGATACTTCAAACATCTTTTATAAGACAGTTTATTCTTTTTATGTTTATAATACGTGAAACAGAAATATGTTGAGGAAGTAAGGAAGAATTGGGGATGGGCGGGGGGGGGGGGGCACGCTAATTTTAAAACGTTGAGAGTTTTATACTTTTTAAAAAAATATTTTCATTAACCAGTTTATGTTTGATAGCATTAGATATTTACAGCAACAAATATAAATTATGATGACACAAAAATATTTTGTGGGATTTATACCCAACTTTTGAGGTAAAAGGCCTAGAATATGCAAATGAAAGACATTTTTGTATCACACATACACAATTTATAGAACTAGTGCACATCACCATTGCGTTTTTATTCAGCCAGACGGCGTGTGTTATCTCAAGAGTTGTAAAAACTATTGATCCTAAGATCATTTATTTTCAGAAATGTGTTGTTTTATTTTTTAACCTTCCCCTCTGTATATGTCTTGCGACGCTACTTATAATCGTCTACGGTGGTAAGAGGGTTGTTCTATCTAAACGTTGTGCCAAAAATGTATTTATATGTACTGTTTAGAGAAAACACCAAACTATACATACAGGAAGAGATTAAATAAATTAGTTGCAAGACAGACCAAAACACATATCTCATTGTGTTCTTTCTAATAAACTATTTAAAAACATAATAAAATATCCAGCGCTATTTTTATAGACGCAATAATTTGTTTAAGCATAACATTAATTAATACAATGTAATTAAATGTAAAATTTCTTTTTTACGAATCTGACGGTCCATGGAGCAAGTTAAGCATAAGCAGAGTTCACCAGTTTCTGTGACATCTTCTTATGAAGGGATACTGTGGTCAGCATTATACCGAACCGCAGTTGCTTTCTCATCAGAGCTAGGATGGACTCTGGTACATTCTACTGACTTGAACCCATATTCGAGCTCAGGAATTAGCAGTCCTATGCTCTACAGCTAGGCCACGCCGTCCTCAAAATGTAATTAAGGCTTAACATTTAAATTTAAGATTAACCCCTACAATACAACCTCCATCACACGTAACGTCTTTATGATTACAGCTGTCTTTGTTAAAACAGTTCACACTACAAGAATGTCGGCAGTCTATAGCCACCTTCCTAAACTACACACTAAAATACAGTATTAGCATGCAGTACACTTTAATACATTTATATTTTTCAACAGAACAAACATTAGTTCAAACATTTGAAGATTGACATAACCAAAGACATTAATAGTATAGGCCTAGCGCATTAACTATTATAAGAAAAAAAATCAATCGGTATGAGTGTCTGAACCCTTCAGTACAGAGCGGTGGTTTAAACCCTGCCATACAACCTCCATAACACGTGCCGTCCTTAGGGTTACAGCTGTCTTTGTTAGAGCAGTTCACACTACAAGAGTTTCGGCAGTCAACACCCCATGTACCTGCACTACACTCTGTAATATTGAGACGTACACTACACTTAGTACATTTATAGTGTTTAACTATTTTGTATGGTGATGATGGCTGTCGCCTCTTTGTTGACATTGCTTTTGATATATATTGTGTTTTGAAAGTAATTTCGGAAAAGCTATACCATAGCCGCAGACCAATTCACGTACATAAATAACTATCATATATATATATATATATATATATATATATATATATATATATATATATATAATAGTAACCTGAGAAAGTTAGACGCTGTACGAAAGAAAGTGACGTTTAGGGGTCATCCATAAATGACGTCACATTCGTAGGGGGGAGGGGGGGTCCGTAATTTTGTGACGATGTGTGATGAGGGGGAGGGGGGGGGGGGCTCAGATGTTGCGACGTCACATTTTTGCATTATAAAAAATCAATGTTAGAAAACGAATTCTAGACGTTATTTCGCGTTTTAGATAACTGTTTTAATAAATTGTAATAGTTTAGACAAGATTTTGGAAAAATATCGATGTTTTAAAAAAATGCAACTGCAATTTTGAGGGGGGGGGGGGGGGGTTGTAGGTTGAGGTGTGACGTCATTTTAGGGGGGGGGTCTGACTTTTTGTGACGACGTGTGACGGAGGGGAGGGGGAGAGGTAAAAATCGTCAAAAAAAGCGTGACGTCATTTATGGATGACCCCTTAAGTGGAGGATCGTTTTTGCCGGGGAAGAAGTTGGAAGTAGTCATATTATTGTTGTGTTAGGGTGAGGTCGTAATGTAGTAGAGTCTTAGTATCGTTCGTGTTAGTCGTCCTATGTATTTTTATACTGCAATAAATAGTAAAATTAAATAATGTCATCCTGTCGAATCATTTGTATTCGCTGATGTCGTCTTAGTATAGGAGGAACTACTGAATGGCTAGACAGAATATAATGGTAGTGTAAACCCTCTTACTGCATAGCTGCGGGACACATATATCGCAGTTATAACAAGGTGCCAGTGTGTGTATTTTTTTTTTGGAAAATGTGTATGAACTACATACAAGAGTCCAGCTTTTTTGACGTCTTGGTCGCTGGTCCCACTCAAACAATACACACATCAACAGTTATATGATTGATGTTCTATCTAAACTGTGTGGCAAAATGTATACATGGCCCAACTTTTACAAAATAAAAACGGATTTTTTTTTACCTTCAGTACAGAGCGGGGGTTTAGACCCTGTAATACAACCTTCATCACACGTGCCGTCCTTATGGTTACAGCTGTCTTTGTTAGAGCAGTTCACACTACAAGAGTTTTGGCAGTCAACACCCCATGTACCTTCAATACAGTCTAGAGATTTGACATGTATGTCTTTCAAGTAAACACAACATATAGTTTAAACTGAAAAAATCTGCCCTTTATAGTAAAATTTATATATCTGTATAAATTTATTGGTTCTACTCACCAGACTGGCATCCTTCAAATGTGTATCCTGGAGCACAGCCATATGGACAGGTACCAGTGTCCACGTGACATTGTTCATTGTTGACACAGTTACATTCTTTAGTGCAGTCTAGGCCGTATGTGTTCTTTGGGCATATGTTGACTTGTGAAATACAAGCGTCGAAATGTAATATCTCTTATAATTACATTATCTGATTATTCACATAATTTTTTTTTAAATTTATAACTAATTCATTTTAACAATAATAAAAAGACAGTAGAAAACATATACGTTTTATACGATGTGCTTAAATATTTTTCAAGGCCACCCTACTGAACATATATAAAAATAGTTTAACTACACACGTATTATTCTAGTATATAACTATGTTGCAAACCTCCATAAATCTCGGCCTCACAAAAAATTAAATAGTCTACATCCAATGTGACGTTGACCCGAGCAACATCACGTGATCCAGATACAACAGTGTGGACTAGTGCCAGTGCCTTAGGAGCCGTGTATGTGAACACTTGGTCACCTTTGTTGTCCCAACTTGTTAGTGTAAACCCACTGATTCTTTCAGGACAGCAAGGTAAAGCTAAAACAAAATACAAATACGGAATCAAACGAGATAACAGCTAGTTAAAATCTGCATACTCAATATGCAAGAAATTGTATAATCAATCCTAATATATAAAAGGCCATGTGCGCTCTTCTCTCTCTCTCTCTCTCTCTGTCCGCAAAATATTTTCGCCGGACATCACGTCAGAATCGGCAGCGATATATGGCTACCTTTATAAGCACTTTTGTTGAAAATAATATATTAGATGTTTTAAATGCATAGCCACAATTTTATCTAAAGAAAATTTAAAAATAAAGGCGTATTCGAATGAAGAAAAGCAATTTAAATTATGCAACTGGAAAAAAAGCATTTATAGATGTAAAAAAGAACGCATAAAACTGTGACGTCACTAATGTTTATACATTAACTAATGACGTCATCTGCGGTGTTTAGAATAAAAAGAAATGAACTATTTCATTCAAATTTGATTTAGATCTACGTACACTATGAAATGTATAAAATACAATTTCTCCGGCCTAAACTCATAACATTTATTTTATTTATTTGGATTCTAGATCTAGAGATTCTAGATTGTAGATATAGACTAGATCTAAATCTACGCAGTAACTAGACGTAGACGCTAAGATCTAGATTTAGACTCTAACTACTCTAGAATCTATTCCAAAAATAAATTTCTATATTAGGCCTAAACTATTTCAAGACTTAATTATTTTATACAAAATCTTTACTTGGAACTGGCTAATTTGGGATAAAAAAATTTATTAGAAAGAATAGGCATATTCGCGTAAGTTAAGATTTTAAAATACGTCTTTCTTCTTCTTCTTCTTCTTCTTCTTCGTTCTTAATTTTTGAATATGGTGGAGGATTCAGACAACAAGTCCAACTTCGTGGACAAACCGGACTGTGGTTTCCAGTTTGTCAGGTGTCCCATATAATTTTTCCCTGAGTGGGGTGGGCTGGGGCCAGTGTCTGCCTCTTGCCTGGCTATACAGAGTACATTCTTGGAGTACGTGCTCTGTGTTTTCCGGGGCCTTGCCACAAGGGCACATTTCGCTACACCCAACCTTCAGTTTTTTGTGCATGTGTTGATTTAGTCTGTTGTGGCCTGTTCTGAGTCGAAAGATTATGTATTGTTGTTTTCGTGTTAAATTGTAATAGCCGTCGTCTTTATGTAGTGAGGGTGTGTGACAGACCACATTTGCGTTTGTTTGTTTTTAATTATTCTTTTTATTTCTTTTGGGTGTAGCGAAATTTCCGGTTGTGGTTTCTTTCCCCAATTTTTGCCAGCTGGTCTGCGATCTCGTTACCATACGTCTTTCATTCTCCGTGTTTTATAATAGCTGAGATGATAGTGTACTTAAAACCACGCAGGTGGTACGGGTTCGGGACACACCAAGTCAAACTTGGTTATTTATTTATTTTTATTTTTTTTATTTTGCTCGGGCTAAACTTAAAAAAAAGTTTTATAAGGATTCTAGATCTAGAGAATCTAGATGATCTAGAATCTCTAGATAACCAAGTTTGACTTGGTGTGTCCCGAAGCCGTACCACCTGTGTGGTTTTAAGTACACTATCATCTCAGCTATTATAAAACACGGAGAATGAAAGACGTATTTTAAAATCTTAACTTACGCGAATATGCCTATTCTAGATCTACGGAAAAACTAGACTTACACAGATGTAGACCCTACCTAGATCTAGAATCTATTCAAATAATACATTTCGATACTAAAGTATTTCAGGCCTTAATTACTTTACTGAAATCTTTGTTTATCTATGCAATTAGCTAATCTCTATAATGTAGAAAGCAAAGTTGTCGGGTGCCCGATAGGGCAATTCCCGGTGCCGCGGACGCTTCAAATTTGGCAGGAATCTTGCCTTGGGGCGACGGAACACGGGGGCCGGTTGGTCGAAAAGTCTACGATGAGTGGGTCAAACTGACCTCGACGGACCGGCGTCTTATATGAGCTATAAATCGAAAAAAAATGTCCATGTATGAACCTCTTCATAACTCCTGAGGTCGTAGACCGACACTCGGGCGAATTAATTAAGCATTCAAATTCTCAATGTTTTCGAAAGCCTAAGCGAAGCTGGGCAGCATGCCTAGTATTTTAAAAATCCCTTTAAATTCAATGTTGTATCGTATAGTAATTAGATACACGATTACCATTTTATTGTACAAACAGTTTAAATCGAATACATTGATATCGATCGTCATGTTATATTACTTAAACCTATATGGTGTTTTGAAATACGATTGTAAATATCCTATATTTTATACATGTAAAAGATTTGGTAGTTACATTGTTTTAAAAATAAACATTACTCACGATCAGTCTTAAAATCCCACCTACTGTATAAAACATATCTGTTGACATTGTATGCTTCACCAGTGAAATTAACTGCCCAGTAATGAAGTGTTCCGTATGATGTCTGTATGGCGGTATGCATACATGATTTATAGCTCCAATCACTTGTTCTATTACCATCTACAGCATTAGAAGCAGCAGAAATTCTATTATACGTACTGTCTTGTATGGCAGGTTGTTTAACTGCAATATTCCTGCCTAGATTTTATTAGGTTTTTCTTTTATTTTAATTTGAAGAAAAAAACTAGTATATTTCATTAATTCGATATAATATACTGAACTAAACCTAGCTAGATTCATAGTTACCTCCGCTGATATAAACATTGCAGACATTCCTTATATTTCCCCCTGACAAAACTAGACGTGTCATATTTACTGTTGTCCGACATCTGAACTCAACCGTGTCCTGGCTAATAGCTGATTGGAAAATCGTGTCACACCTAGAGTTTCCGCCAGTTATGTTTAAGTTTGACGTCAGATAATTTGCTGAAAATAGTTATACACCATATTAACAAAACTGCTTCTGTACTTAACTTTTGGTTAAGGAATGAAAACTTCTTTCATTAATTAACGATTTGTTGTTCACATTTTTAATCATGTTTTTTTTCAGTGGGGAATAACATTTTAAAAAAAAAACACGGAGATAAATTGTTACTAAAAATTAGACATTTTATCTTTGTCTTAACTCCGTCCAACACTATAATATAACATTTCAAAAGACCATCAGGTCCTATATTACATCCGAATCATCCCAAACCCACATTCAGAAATGAACTACAATTTTTTTTGGAGCATGTTAATTAAAACATGTAATCGCTCTTCCTGTCCGAAAACAAAGTGATACTTAATCGTTCATGCAATTCCGGTAGGTGTTTATGAAACAAACCATTAAAACGGGAAACAGTTTGCTGAAATTCTGAAAATTTCTAATTCGTTATTTTAACAAATAGGCCTATATAAAACTTCTCATACCTAGAATTATACCTATAAAACACAACATAACAGAATGATACATGACCATTCCCGTATTAGTGTATAATTTGTGGGCGATCTTTAACTGGTGTTCTCTGTGGTTGAATTTAAATTACTGACTAGTAAAATATTATTCTTTAAAAAAATATGTCTACAGTTATTCTTAAGCTTCGTTTGTCAATGCAACTGTTTTTGTCAATATTAACTATGCCTTAGTTTTTAATGAAGCTAGTAACAATTTTTTTCGTCTTTCCTATAAATATGTTTTCATTGTCAACCCGTGGAATAAAGCTTTTCAACATCATGCATGGTTGTATTAAAGATTTTTTGACTAATGTTATTAAAGACCAGGGTCCGTAACAAGATTGGTTCCGTCGAGTCGAAGTATATTAGAAGTAGTTTGGCATATTGCCTGTCTTTGATTTCATCTTCTAAGACATATATTTAGTACTTACTAGTTTCTTTAAATTGTACCCATAGAAACATGAAAGGGTAGGAAGTGTTCCAGGAGACTTCAATTCTTTGATTAGCTCCTGCAATATTACATGGGCCTACAGTAATTTGGGCTTGACGTGAAACATCCAATGTCAATTTGGCTGTATAGACTGTTGCAAGATTCTCTAAAACAAAACATTTTAAAATGTTTGACCATTAAGCTGAATCTCTTTGATATATTGTTTCTATTTAGAAACCTAATACTTCATATGTCGTGGCTATAATGAAAACACATGCATATATGAGACATAAAGATAGCAACAGATTAGACCAACACATCAAAAGTATAAATTAATCCAGGTATTTCTTAACTTTACACTATAACCTATAAACCTTAAAGCCTAGTTATTGTTGCCTGTGCTAGAAATAGTATAAATATCTTTTTTTTTTAAAGTTGAGTTTAACTCCACGTTGTTATATTACTCTCCCTCCCCCCCCCCCCCAAGTCGAATGTGAATACAAATGTGATATTAACTATCGTTAACTGGGTTTGGTTAGAGGACAAGGGGAATAATAAATAATAGAGTTGAGATTGTATGTATTGAGGTAGAAAAAAGTGTTTAAAAGATTGCGGAGTGTAGTGTCGCTCACGATCGATGATTTTAGTATAATTTTTCTCGACCATTCAATTTAGGTACAAATATCAAGTAACAAAATAATCGGTAAATTTTCAAAACATGTACTTCTTTGTACCCTTATGTCTCGAATTCAAATCTGGGTTCAAGTCAGTAGATGAGTCCACCCAGCTCTGATGGGTACCTAATTCACGTTAAGGGAAAGTAAAAATTGGCTGGGCATAGTGCTAACCAGATTATCCCTCCATAGAAACAGGTGAACTCTACTCCACTTGCCCTATAGACCGTCAGGTTTGAAAGGAGAACTTTACTTACTTTTACTACTTTTACAACATTAATTAAGATGAGCAAGATTTTGCACATTGAGCATTTTTATAATTTCCGATAACTAAATAAATCGGGAGTGATCTCCTCTAAACTTTCTCGAATATTCTAATATAACACTACGGGGGATGGCAACTCGGGACATAGACAATATTTTAAATCCATTTTTAATTACTTAAACTTTTTATAATAGAATAGATTCTCGTACAAAAAAGAATTGCACACCAAGTGAACACCAAATAAAATGTGCATAATATTGCGGGATATTATTAGTACTTTATAAATTCACATGCGTTTTTTGAGAAATCGGAAGTAGCCTAAATTACTACTTCCGGTTGACGGAAATTACTCAAAATTTGATAGAAAATTAGAACTTTTACTTTCATGTGAAATTTCATTTATCTATCTGAAATATTACTCAAGTTATAGGATTTTGAAAAATTCAAAGTTCCACTTCCGTTTATCGGAAATCGCTCAAAATTTGATACGGATCTACGATTTTCATATGATACTTATATATGAAATCTCATCAACCTAGCTGTAACAGTACTCAAGTTATCGTGTTTACACACACACAGACACACACACAGACATACATACACACAAACATACGGACAAGATTGCAAAACTATGTTTTTCCGACTCAGTGAGGTGTAAAAAGTCGAGATTTGTAAACATCTCGATTTTTTTTTGCACGATTACAAGACTTTCTCTATACCTCGTATATACGAGAAAGTAAAAAGCGACCAAGTTTACTTTGAAATATACTTTTTATATTGCAGACTTAACATAGAATATTCTTTGTGATAGTTTCCTTTAGTTGTCAACTGACACTATTTGTAATAGTAAATTGCACCGATGTATCATAATATTATTTTTAGTTATCGACACCTATAATTAGCATGTTTACAAACTCGATGAAACCTTTTTCGCCCTGTTTAGACTTGATTCGGAAAGCGGCGCAGAGAAATACTAATCTTTAGCCTTTGAATGCTAGTTATTGGAAATAGCCTAAAAGTAATGTATGTGTAATGGCGCCATCAGAATAAGAGACACATTTTCATACACATGCGCATATATGTTATAGAATTAAATATTTATACTGCAAGATTGCCATCCTTTTGACTGTATAAGAATCTACGAAAAATTTTAGGGAGGGATTACCAACGCTAATTAGTTCTAAATTTTGTTGTACCTCGTTTTGTATTCGTTATGTAATGGTGAAACCACAAATTGGCACGCCGGTCAAAAGTTTGTGACATTTTAAAACGTTTTGTTTTTTAATTTTATCATAATGTGCTTTCGTATTTTCATATTAATTTTAAATAGATTCTAATTCTTTTTCATTCTTTTGTATGCATTAAATTATTTTTTTCCTTATTAAAAAAGTGTATGCTAAAAATTTTGATTGTAAAGTTATAAAAAAGTATAAAAGTATTTTATAAACTGCAAAAATTACGCTTCTTCTACCAGAGGCGTAGCGAGGGGGGGGGGGGGGCGGGGTGCGGATCGCACCGGATGACACCATTTAGGGGGGTGACACCAAGGCAAAAAATAACAAAATATATAGAGAAAAACTTGAGCGGGGGGGGGGGTGCAAATCGAAAGTTTGAAAGTTTGTCCCCTGGAAGGGTCACTACGCCTTGGGGGGGGGGGGGGTGACACCATTAAGTGCCGCACCGGGTGATACCCGACCTTGCTACGCCACTGTCTTCGATTATTTCAAATAGATTTACCCCCCCCCCCCTTTAACTATTTAAATAAGCGTTATTTGCCTACTATTCTACCTCAAGACGTGTTATCAGCTAATTGAGGGAATTTTATGGGTCTTGTTTCGTGTCTGGCGGTATGGAAGTTACGCCACTGAATGTTATTTTTCATTTAGTTAGATATAAGCTGCGTTTACTTACGGTACTGACAAGCAGGACCAAACCATTCACCGTCACACTTTGCCCCTTTGATGCAGGTACCGTCGTCTGTACATTTGTTGTTTGTACAGTGGCACTGGAGCTTACAGTCTTTGCCAAACCATCCAACATCACATGCTTTGATATAGATACATAAGAGAAAATGATTCCATCTTTTGTAGGACATAAACATACAATTTCCTCACTTTTGGTGCTTTTTCGTATTTCCTCTTCCACCAGCGATGCTCAATAAACAATAAACAATAAACATAGGCATCATTGTATTAAAAGCATTAGATCAAGTGTCACACTTGCATTTAAATAAAAAGAAAAATATTTAAAAACATATGTTTTTGCATCCCACGATCATAAAGTAAAGACAGTTGGATATAGTACTGACCACTGACCACACTAACGTTTCGTAAGCCGAGGTAACTTAAACAGATGCTCTCTCTGCTTTCCGAAGACACATACATTCACACGAATCCATTGGCCGCAATTTCAAACAAAACTAAATTACCTTTCTAAAATTAAAATTAATAACCTGTACTACGTCACAATTCGTACAGCAACAATTTTTTTCTAGCACTACCTACTCAGAACAAAAATCATTTACGTGCAGAATGAATACATTCCACCTTGAACGTTTACTAATTTATCCGTAAAGCTAAAGCTAGACCTGACCTAGACCTAGACCTAGTCTTAGACCTAGACCTAGACCTAGACCTAGACCTAGACCTAGACCTAGACTTAGACCTAGACCTAGACCTAGACCTAGACCTAGACCTAGACCTAGACCTAGACCTAGACCTAGACCTAGACCTAGACCTAGACCTAGACCTAGACCTAGACCTAGACCTAGACCTAGACCTAGACCTAGACCTAGACCTAGACCTAGACCTAGACCTAGACCTAGACCTAGACCTAGACCTAGACCTAGACCTAGACCTAGACCTAGACCTAGACCTAGACCTAGACCTAGACCTAGACCTAGACCTAGACCTAGACCTAGACCTAGACCTAGACCTAGACCTAGACCTAGACCTAGACCTAGACCTAGACCTAGACCTAGACCTAGACCTAGACCTAGACCTAGA